TCATCACCATTCTCTTGCTTTTGTATAGCTTTCTTTAACTGTGAAGTGCGAGAAGATCTATGTAGGTATTTCCTCTTGCCTTTGCATTCGTAACTCCAGTGTCCCATTTCCAGACACTTTTGGCATCGCACTCCCTGGGGATATGCAGATCGCGGATCACTGCAAATACAGTGATAGAAATTAGAGAAATTGCTACAACGATATCATTTGTTCACGCCTTGTCTTGGCGTGTTAGACTCGTCGTTGACTCATAAATATTTCAAGGTTACGTGGGATCTTCGAGCTCATGCAAATGTAACTTATTTCGAAATATAAACTTACGATTTCTTCAATAGCTTCATCCCGTTCCAGTTCATGAGGTTGGTTTCGTCTTGCGTATAACCTTCAATAATCGTATAATGTTCGAAAGAGAATTACTTAGAATGCACGATCACGTTTTATCACATTTGCACTCGCGTGTTTTGAAGTTTGTTTACGTGCCGAGAAGTTTATGTACGGTTTTCAATGCGCGTCGAAACTCGAGAGACACAACGGTTTCTCATTCGTCGACTCGACAATTGAGAGTGTATCGTATAAGTCGATTGTGTATAAAAATTACAAAAGTAAATAAATTTACTAAGTGTTGATCAATGAAGTTATAAATATTCTAATGAATTTTTTTTTAATCACTATCATTTTTATTTCAAAATATAATCGATTTTCTGCCGATTGATTTGATTGCTCACGTTGCAAGTTTGTTGCAGATCGAAAAGGATCTAAAATTCTTCAAGTAAGAACTTCAAGTTAGAACTTAAATTCTTCAAGTTTAGACATATTTTTAATTAACTGCAATATTTTTTATTAAAACGTTTAAATTATATATATAATCAGTTTATTGTCTACACAATTTAATATTGTCTACACAATTTTATTAATATAAAACTGATTTAATTTAATTTAAAGTTTATACGTATAAATATTATTGCTAATAACAATAATAATAAAAATATATTAAAAAATAATGATAAAATATAAATTTCTTTGTAGTTATTAATAATTTTGAACCAAAAAATATTAAGCGAGGTCCAAACTCTTACTTGAGAAACTTTATGAACAAAGAACGATTTTGATGATATATGCAGCTATATTTTAGATAATTTCATTTTACTTTGATGTAGCAAACGACAAGGATGATTGATTCCAAAAATGATTCTTCGAGCAGTACGAAAAATCTTGCTCCTGATCCTTTTCTAATCGAATACGGAAATAAATATGTAGAATTGAGAATCACGAAGGACGCAATAAGTATGTATCGAGACAGCTTTCTGGAGAACAAAAAGATATTAGAGGAAGAAAAACAAGAGCTGGTGATAAATCAATTAATAAAATTCTGCCTAAATAACTTTAAATTTTTCTTTAAATATTTGCAGAAATTATTTGCATTAATTTATAAAAGATATTAGTTGTATAAATTGTAATATGAAGTTTTGAATATAAATTAAATATAAATTAAATATTTAAATTATTTAAATTATATAATTTAAATTATATAATTAAAGTTATTATAATAGTTATTTAAATAGTTATTTAATTAAATAATTGATTTTTACCAAATTAAGATGATCAATTAATAATCTATCATTTATGATGCGCAACATTTTTAAGAATTTTCGGAAAGCTATTTTTAAAAATAGGCATAATATTTATTTTATTTGTATGCTTTCGATTCGCATAATGTTTATTTTATTTGCGTAAAATAGAAAATATAATTTTATATTTTTGGCAATGAGCCAGTGTAAAAAACAAATTTCACAAATGGGTCACATACAGCCTGGGGGAGCCGCAAGTTGCGTATCGTTAATTTAATTATTGGAATATGTCTAATTTAAATCGCTAAATCGTGACTCATCTCTTAATTGCATTAAATGCATGAGATATTTTTTTGTTTTTTAATTCAGGAGAAATTAAATTATCAAGTGTGGTCGCTGGAAGACTCATTATGCGAACAGATATGGCGATTCTCACATGAACATGATTTTGCTGTTATCTTTCAATATCATCCTTTTGTTATAAATTGTGCAAAGCCAAGGAGCAACTGTAAAGATGGTGGGATTATATAAAGATTAAGAATTTTTGACCGCACTTTGATTAACTTCGACAATCAATTCAACCAACAGAATTATCTAAAATAAATTTTTGTATAATTCCTTGTGTGATCCGGTTTTTTTTTACATATTAAAAAACAAAAAAATTAATAATTCTATGCATATTAATAAAATATACAATAATATATTATAATTATTTGCTAAGTCATCTATTAAGTTAATCGAGAATTAAATTAATTGGCAAAATTATCTATTTAAAATATAATATTCAACTATACGATTCATTGTTCCGAATTTAATTTCTTTTTTTCATATATTAAACAAAAAAGATGATAATTCTATCCATTTTAACGAAACAGTATTATTTGCTAAGTTAATTTTACCGATTAAGTTAATCACTTATTAGTACGGTCGGGGTTACTCTTAAAGGGTTCAGGTTCTTTCACTCGCACGCGTGCGTTAAACCGAAGATAATTCTGTTAGGTACGAAAAGGAGCTCCGAGCTGATTGATCTCATAAATGAAATCGATGCTATCAAAGCAGAAATGATTGATCTTAATCAAGGAAAGAATGTTAAACAAGAAGTAGAGAGCGCTTTAACAAAATTACGAAAGTTGCAATTAATCTCGGACGATGTCACGGAATTATTACGGTATGTACAACTGACGCTTTCATTAATGTAATTAATTTTAATCTCGATTCGATTTACTCTTTATCTTTTTTTAATTCTGAAAATTAGTTATTATTAATTAATCTTACATTGATAGAACTGGACCTAAAACAATTATAAAGATATCTATATAAGAAAATTTGTCACTTAATTCTAGATTAATATGTTCTCCACAGTCTTCGTACAAACTTGAAACAATATCGATGCCGATATATGATGAAATAATTTCTAATAATGGAAATAAAGGCAAACGACGTAAGAATGATTCCAGTTGCGCAAGTATCCAATATAATTCTAATTAAATCGATTTAATCAATTGATGTAATCAATCAGATTGATTTTTTTTAGCATGTCATTCAGAATACTCTTCCATTAGTTATTGCATTTTTGGTTTTCATATTTGTTTTTTTAGAACAAATAAAAAATGACAAATCAAATTTTATGCCTAAGAAGAAATTAGTATTTACGATTCCTAAGAATTATCCTGAATTGTCGCTTGAGAGAAATATCATATTTACTGCGAACACAATAATCACGAATACATCTATAGAAGTAAGTAATAATTTTGAAATTATTTCCTTTCTTTGTGTCCTTGACTACTTTATGTTTGTATTGCGATAATGAGATATGCATTAATGGCAATTACAGTCTACAAGCAACAAGAAATCCAAAAATTTTACTCTCAAGAAACGCAGCGAGATTTCTATCAAGTTTCAACAATATCACAAGCATAAATATTAATTATAACTGATTTCGATAAATATATTCGCACAAATTCAATGATTAAAGATAATTAAGGGATATTTTGATTTTCAATATAAATATTAAAAATTTAATTTAAAAAATCATAATAAAAATTTGTTTAATTATTATCTTAACTGTTATATTGTAATAAAAAAATTAAATATAAACTTAAAATTATGTGCAAAGTTTTTAATATCAGAAAAAGATCGCGCAGAAACGAAGAAACAAGAGAGATTTTCGGGAAAATATTTTATAATATATTTGCATGTTTAGAAATATTTATACAGTGTCTGACGTAAAGTCATGTAATATACATTGAGTTACATTTAATATTACATTCTTGGAATTATACACAATTAACACAATATCGTATGTTACGCAATAGACTATTCAACAAGCGTTTATTTACTTGGAATAGTGTACTGAGCGTTTGCAATCATCACGGTAAATTTATCATTTGCAAACCATGTGAATTATGTACCATGTTTATCAATTTGTTTTGCTTCTTTATTTCTTTTTTTAACTGTTTATAACAGTTAGATCGTATTATATCAACGATCTTGACAACTTATATGTGAATGACTCGATGAATTTTCTACATGAGAAGACTTTCATTACAATATCTAGAAACTAATTTGTTAAACGGTCGCCACGTCACGTCGTTTCGATAACATCGTAAAAAACATTAATATTAATCAATCTAATTAAAAATTGCAGCCTTGATTTATTAATAACATGCTAATATTCATATTTTTTCTATTATATAAATTTTTCGGACAGTTTCCTTGTTAAACTGAAAATGCAATCTAAATTTACGTTTAAAATTTTAATTCAATTTGTCTTTATTTTAATTTGCATATTTTAATTTACATGTATCTATAAATTAAAATATATATACACGTACATAAGTATCGTGATTTGACATTTTCATTTAACTCCTTCATGTAACATTTTGCAACAAATAAATAAATAAATTTAATAATCGAAATGCATAAAATGAAAAAATACAAAAGCGCTGATATAAATCCTTATAATTGTAGATAACGTATACATAGTAACGTGTAAAATACACTAAAAGCAATAAACATACAAAATTATATTACTTAGTATTATAAAATTCCAACAGTTCCATTCTAAAATAATGCGCACTATTTCTAATATTACATAACATCGAGTAAATTACGTCATATTTTTAAAAAAAGAAAATCTTTTGTTTAATATCGATGAACCGCTTACGTCTTCGATAATAGTCGACGCATTTCACTATTAATAGTTCGCATAAGTGGGATCTCATGACGACCGTTATATCGCAACCTTTATCCTCTATAATACAATGAAAGAAGTTTTTCACTTTCAGACTTAAAATATCTGACATACTCATTAATTAGCAAGAATCTTCGCAACGCTTGCCCGACGTGCTCTTTTAAATTGTACTAATTAAGTTTTACAACGTCTCCTCCTTCATAACGTGTTCATATCATCGTAATGAATTATAAATAGTCTTTGCGAGAGAATCTTTGATACCGTTCATCACTGATCATTTTTAATTCGCAACCCGACCACGTCGAAACGTCCTCATATGTACAGTCTAATGGAGAGAACTTGCAAATTAATGTATTTTACATGCAATCTTTCAGCGATAAAGATTCTTACTTAAAACAGGAAGCCAAGAGACGAATCTCATCGCGATCCTTGCGAGGTGCATACTTCATTGTTTCAAAAAACATAAATATACATACTGACTGATAGCATACAAACAGGTAGATATACAGAACTCATATACTCATATACAGAAAGGAAATTTGTAACGCATTGAACCTTAGCACGAAGGAATACTTCTATTAACTTCATTAAAATAACAATTAATAAATCATGAAATGTAATAAAAATTGGCAAATCACAAATTACACAATAATAACATCTAATAATCGAATTTCGTCGTGTTAAAGATCGAAGAAAAAAATTAGAATGA